CATGCTTCATCTGTAAAATACCAAAGATCAAAAGAGGTGCCGGTTAGACCCTTTATGAAATGTTGACAAACTGAATAGTTTCTAAGGTGTAATTGTATTAAATTTATATTGTGATTATGTTAGGTGTCTTCTGTCTCCTTTTAACCCTGAGACACTTTTAGCTCGTGCTCATGTGCGGTTATTCAGTTGTATATTGTAGGTAGTAGGATAAGTGATTCCTGAAGCTCTGCTCTGGAGATGTGGGAGTCGTTCTTGCAAATTAGCATCATCTCTTGTTGCTTTAAAATAAAAAGTATTTTTGAGGATTTGCTGTATTAATTATGTTTAGTCTCGTTCTTGTGTTTTCTTTCTTCTCATTTATCTCTCCTTAGTTCAAGTGGAAATATTTTCCTTTTTTCCTTCCCTTGCTGAGCACCCCCGAGGAATTTGTGCTCTTAATGCATCTTCTCTATGTGAAAGACAAAAATAGCTTCACATCAGGGAAAACTTCTTCATGTCGTAGAGTTATTTAAAAGGACCACCCTTCTTTTCTCTAGAAGATACCCCCCCCCCGGCCCCGAAAGATTTTCTTCAACATACACCAAGAGCTCACTGAAATTTTTGAAATTTATGGAGAAAATGAAAGATGAATTGTGATTTCTCATGTGCATGATCATTCCATGTGATAAATGCATTGGAAATTATGCATTATTGATAAATATATATATATATATATTAAACCTATACATAAAGAAAAGTGTAAAAATGAATAATTTGTGGACTTGAATGACTTGTGACTGTGACGTTTACAGGCAACCTGCAAATACTTCATTTTTTTTATACAGTGTTTTTGTGCCTATTGAATAAATTACATTCAATATGATAATTAGGATGTTTGAAGATGCCTTTTCCCCTCATTTTCTTACATTTAGAGCCATGAGTTTGTGATTCATAGTTATCATTCATCCTGGAGAGTCTCTTAATCTTCGTCTTGAGTATATTTTACCATGAAACCAACCTCAGAACATGGTTAAACCACTCCGTAAATGTGTTCTCGGGGGATTATATTTCACAAAAAAAAAAAAAAAACAGAAAATATTGACTGTTTGAATCTAGCACACCAGCCCCAAGTGCTGGCACACAACCCTACACATGCCTGCCACACACCTCTTCCAGGGAAGAAAAGTGAGCCATCCTTGTGTCATGTTAACATGGCTGCAGGGGTGTCACAGGCACTTTTGTCCTCCTTGTTCCAGTTTGGTATTCAGTCTGCCCTTTCAGCCTGGAATCCACTGAGATGTGATACTTTGGAAAATTGGCATTACGGCAGACTGGTGCGTTAACAGACCAGCTCGTTACGTTACGCTCACATATTGAGTTTACTTCAAACAACAGCCGCTGTCTGACCTCGCAGGTTCAGTTGCATAAGTGCCTCGTCAGCTGTCGACACTGCTGGAACGTTTCCCTACGTGTGAAATAGATTGTGAGGCTTCTCGTTTACCAATGCTTTTTTTTTTTTGGCTGTGCCTGACTGAGAGATCTTTCCCTCAGCGTTTCATGGTGTAATGACTGTTCTAATATTGCTCAAAAAGAAACAACTGCACCAGAACCCCTCTCGCCTAGAAATGTAAAACACCTGTGGCGTGTTGATGCGCAAGCGTTCTTATGATTTTAAAGGCTGAAACAAAGACAAAACTACTTTTCTAAAAAATAAAACTAGGAACTAAAGTTTTCTTTATTTAACACATGCTTTGGTTCTGCTTAATAAAATGGCATATTTTGACCTTCCAGGAGGACACAGATGTTTTTTTACAATCTGTTTTGGGAAGATTAGCTTAAAACTCAGTTGTTCACTTGACAAAATAACAGTTTCTCTTCATGTGTTTGTAGTTTTACCTTGTTTTTATTGTTGTTTAAGGAAGTAATGCACATACATTTTTAATAAACATACTTGTTGATATCTTTATCCTCTCTCCCTCCATGTTGCATTTCCTGCTTGTTCCTTTTAAAAACTCCCATCAAAGCACGTTGATGATCATGAGTTTCTGTGGGATCAAGTAAAATTTTATAGTTTTCCTCCACTGACTGAAAAAAAAAAGACAAATTTTATCAGAAAAACAACGGGTGTAGGATCAGGATACTATAATCACTGTTTTACTTTGATGTATTGAGTTATAAGATGTTTGAAAACTTCCCTTTGGGTTACACTTTTTGTTTTTTTTGCTCAGCTTGTTCTGGAGTTGCTAGTGGTTTTTGTAGTTGTATATATTTCATCTTTTGAGAAAGCTGTGCATCTCCAGTGAGCAGACGGCACAGTGATCAAAGAGAAGTCAGACTGAAAGTTCTCGGAGGACATGGAAGCACGACTAGTTCAATACAAAGGGGGGTTGATCATCTTATCAGAACAGGAAGCGACTATGGCAAGAGAGCAAACTTAAACTTTGGAAGTAAAAGTATTTAAAGTTCAAGTCGGCCTGCATAGCGTCTTTGTGCACTGATTATTTTGCATAAGATTAATATTAATTTGGATGCTCAGAGTGGAGATGAGTGTGATTTACTCGACGTGTCGTTGAGTTGCAAACAATTAAACCAAATCACAAAGGTTATTCTGAACTATATCACAGGGCACAGCTTAAAAGGGTTTACTCCAGTAATTTTACAGATGTACTGAAATGCAGGTCCACAAACCCAGTGGAAGCTCAAGCCACAGAAGCGACATACACTAGGCTGGCCCTAGTCTGTGTAGGTAAACAAATCTATTGGAATCCGACAAATGTAGAGTCAGAAAATGGAAACTTATGAGTGAATCTGCAGCTAAACAACATAGAAGAGAGAGATCGAGTAAGACAAGTCGGGAATAAATATCAGGGATCAAAAAGGGTGGTGGAATCACAAAGACAGAGCTCAATATTATAAAAAAAAAAAGAAATACGCATACCGCTTCGACAACACTTCTGCATTACAACCTAACCTTTACGACCTAAGCTCACAAACTTTACTTACAAAGGTTTTAATTTGAGGGAACATTAACTATTGGTTTAAGAATTCAGTTCAGTTTGAATTTTTATTTAAGATGTCTTGATCACATGGCAATGAGTACCTTTTTAAGGTTTTTAAAGATGGAGCTGATTCACTTTGTATGTGCTAATGTCACAGTTTTATGTCTGTTATCGCAAACATTTTCTCAAAAGATCTTTGCATCTAAACATCTTTTATTACTGTTTTCTTTATTTATTTAAAAAACACTACAAGTTCTTCTATAAGAGGCGGGTGGTTAGACTACAAGAATGTCTTAAAAACATAAAAACCTGCATGACCCTAAATTTTCTGCTTTTGAATACAGACAAAACTGAGGTTTTAGTTTTTGGACCTGAGCATCTTAAGAGTTAATTTTTCAGTCTTTCTCCCTCCTTGGATGGCATTAATCTGGCCTCCAGCTCTAATGTTAAAAATCTTGGTGTTATTTTTGATCAGGACGTGTCTTTTATCCCCCACATTAAAAAATTTCTAGAACCGCCTTCTTCCACCTGAGTAATATCACTAAAATTAGAAACCTCTTATCTGAAAATTATGCGGAAAAACTGGTTTGTGCATTTGTCATGTCTAGACTGGACTATTGCATTGGTTTATATGGGTGTCCAAATATTTCTTTAAAACGTCTTCAGTTGATCTAAAATGCTGCTGCCAGAGTCTTAACTGGAGTTAGTGGGAGAGATCATATCTCTCCAGTTTTAACTTCTCTCCATTGGCTCCTTGTCAAATCCAGAATAGAATTCAAAATCGTACTTCTAACCTACAAAGCCCTCAACAACGTAGCTCCATCTTATGTTCAAGATCTTATTGTTCCATATTTTCCTAACAGAGCATTTCGCTCTCAAACTGCAGGCTTACTTGCGGTTCCTAGAGTTTCCAAAAGCAGAATGGGAGGAAGATGTTTCAGTTATCAGGCTCCTCTCTTGTGGAACCAACTTCCAGTTTCTGTCCGTGAGACTGACACATTGTACAGTTTTAAGACTTTCCTTTTTGATAAATTCTAGTTAGGGTTGGCTTGTTATGCTGCCATAAGCTTAGACTACTAGAGGAAAAATTGACCTATTTTCCTTAAATGAATTTTTAAAATTGAATAGTTTTCATTTGATACTATTTCTGTCTTAACATGTGATTCTCGACCTGCCATTGTGTATCTGTTCCTACCAAACCCAGACGGTCGAAGCAGATGGCCGCTTGTCCTGAGCCTGGTTCTGTTGGAGGTTTCTTCCTCATGAGGGAGTTTTTCCTTTCCACTGTCGCCTTCATGCTTGCTCAAGATGACAGTCTGCGATGAAGTCAAACTCAAAGCAGTCTGCTCCTCAGATAAATAATGTTAAATTATTATATGAATGTTTCTGTTCAGTGCCCTGGGATGACTTCTGTTTTGACTTGGCTCTTTATACAGTATAAATAAACTGAATTGAATTAAAATTTGATTGAAAATGTTTATTTCATGGTAAATAAAGTTAATTTTGGTCACAATGAAGATTCTTCGTCTTTAGTGCCAATAGCTGTGGTAAAAATAAAATTAGTATTTTATTGTAACCCCAGAACTAGAGAATCTGGTTTTTGAGCCATTGCAAATCAAACCACCTGTGTTAACAGATGAGCAGTACGTTTGTAGCAGTGAACCCAGCATCACTGTGCAGTGTGTCAATATATTTCTGCACGGCTGCCATACGCTGTTTGTATCTAAGCTCAGATTAAGTTTGACGAGCCTGATAACCCTGAACGCTCTCACCGATTCATGAAAGGCTTTATAATCAGAGCTGAGAATACCTTTGTGTGCCTCTTCATTGAGCATTATTATGCAATAAGTCACATAATTGTAGGTTGTTTTGGTGTTTTTTGGTATGTTTTTTTAATCCGAATTGGTTAAATACCAACAACAAAAATCAACGCATTTATTTTTCTCATATTTGTCACTTTTTTCTGTAGTGGAATAAATCACATAGTGAATGACTGTTCTTTTTTGTTTTTATTTTTTCCAGATGCCCCCACCACAGAGCAGCAGGAGCTATTCACCCAAAAACTCCAACAGTGCTGCACAGTCTTTGACTTTATCGACTCGGTGGCGGACCTGAAGAGCAAGGAGGTGAAGAGGGCGACCCTTAACGAGCTGGTGGACTACGTTTCCACTAACAGAGGGGTACTGGTGGAGGCTGCATACCCTGAGATCATCAACATGGTGAGGATTTGCTTTAAAGCTCGTTTGTGCAGCATTAGTTTGTCTAAAAGTCTTTGATTTCGCAAAGAAATCAAGGCAAAACACAAAACGGCATCTGCAAGATTCAAAGAGGGCTTTCCTGTGAGTCCATAACTTCCTGTGTGTTTGAGCAAGATTAAAAAAGTGTTTGTCGACAGCATGTGTGGAACATGTTAGCAGCTTTACCTTTCATACTGCGTCTGTTTGTAGCTCAGAGAGCCACACTGTAAAGTTTCAATTAATTTAAAATATGAGTCTGTGTTCTCCTCTTAATCTTTTAGGCTCTACCTCTCAACCTATGCTGAGAAAAATGCCTTTTCCACACAAACTATGTGGATGAGATTTTTATAACTGCATTTCTAAATACAAATTTTAGTGTATGTATGTGCAATTCACAAATGAAGATTTTGGGTTAAAAAAAAAAATACACTGCTTTTGTGTATCTAGCCTACAACAAACGACAACAATGGCGCCAAATTTATATATTTTTCTTTGCCTGCCTCACTTTGATCCTGTTGATTTTTAACTTTATTTGCTAGATAATTATTTGGTGCAGAGGTGTCCAGTCCTGGTCCTCGAGGACCAGTATCCTGCATGCCTTACTTGTTTCCTTCGCCACCACACCTGATTCAATGATTGAATTAGGGATGTACCGATCCACTTTTTTCCACTTCTGATACTGATACCGATGTCTGAGGCTTCGTATCGGCTGATACAGAAAAACAGTGCAGAATTCCGTTCAACAAACTCATCGTGCTCTTTTTATGGTGAAATCTCTGGAGATGCTTGATTAAGTTGGTAGTGTTATAACTGGAAGTTTTAGTGACACCCCCTGGAACTGTCGCTGTGCACGTATTGCACGTAGCTGTTGAATGTGTTGGCTGAGGTAGTGTGAAATAGCTCCAGATGTCTTAGCCTTTCTCTTGTTCCATTTTGAAAACCATCTGTGTGGTGAGTTCGCTAGCACGTGACGTCACTCAGAGCACAAAGCATAGAATTAGAGTGAATAGATCATCCCAGTCATGGATGGGTTACATTGTCACGATACCCGATCTAGAAGTTTTTTCGATATTGGGACCGACACCAATATTGGTATCGGATCGGTGCATCTCTAGACTGAATTACGGTGCATCCGGATAGTAATCACAGCGCTTCACTTCTTCCACATTTTATCCGAATTGGTTAAATACCAAACACACAAAAAAACTTTTTACATTGTTTTATTCTCATCTGTATTTACAAATTAAACAAGAATATGTACATGTTCATTGGAACAGCCTTGTTCCAAATGGTATTAAATTTACCTCTTTCCTCAAAATTCTACACACAATATCTCATTATGACGATCTGAAAAAAGATTTTGAGAATTTTGCAAATGTATTAAAAATAGAAAGCTAAGAAATCACATTTACAAGTATTCACAGCCTTTGCTTAATACTGTACTTTGTTGATCCACCTTTGGCAGCAATTCCAGCCTCAAATCTTTTTGAATGTGATGCCACAAGCTTAGCACACCTCTTTAGGCAGTTTTCCCCCATTCTTCTTTTTGGTACTTCTCAAGCTCCACCAGGTTGGATGATGGACGTCTGCACAACCTTTTCAGACATCTCCAGCGATGTTCAATCAGATTCATGTCTGGACTCTGACTTGGCCATTCCAGAAGATTCACAGAGTGGTTCTGAAGCCACTCTTTTGAGATCTTGGCCATGTGCTTTGGGTTGTTGTCCTTATGAAAAAGGTCAAGAGCGCTCTGGAGCAGGTTTTCATCCAGTTTGTCTCTGTGCATTGCTGCATTCATCTTTCCCTAAATCCTTACTAGTCTGCCAGTTCCTGCTTCTGGAAACCATCCCCATAGCATAATGCTGCCACCACCGTGCTTCACTGTAGGGATGGTATTGGCCTGGTGATGAGCGGTGCCTGGTTTCCTCCAAGCATGATGCCTGGCATTCATACTAAAGAGTTCAATCTTTGTCTCATCAGACCAGAGAAATGTGTTTCTCGTGGTCAGAGAGTCTTCAGGTGCCTTTTGTCAAACTCCAGACGGGCTGCCATTAGGGGTGCACCGATTGCAGTTTTCTGGCCGATCACCGATTTCTAAAAAGTCTAACCTGCCGATACCTATTTTGTTTTATAAGCGACACTGTCAGGTGTTATAAGGTCACAGTGCACCTTCAATGTTCCAATATTATTTTATTGAAAAACATACCCTTGAACAATATCCTAGAAACAGTACAAACTTGTTTTAACTGGCCATGAGATGGTGCTCTGAAACATAAATGAAGTTCAAACAATTGTTGTTAAAACTAAAAAAAAAAATCAGTAAAATTGGTTTCTCGTGCAAGTATCGGACGATTTCCGATTTCTCAAAATTAAGGAAATCGAGGCTGATATATCGGTGCACCCCTAGCTGCCATGTGCCTTTTATTAAAGAGTGACTTTGATCTGGATACTCTACCACAAAGGCCTGATTGGTGGATTTCTGCAGCGATGGTTGTCCTTCTGGAAGCTTCTCTTCTCTCCACAGAGGAACGATGGAGCTCTGACAGAGTGGCCGTCAGGTTCTTGGTCAACTCCCTGACTAAGGCCCTTCTCTCTCGATCGCTCATTTTAGACGTCCGGCTCTAGGACTAGGACTCTAGGAGAAGTCCTGGTGGTTCCAAACTTCCTCCATTTATGAATGATGCTCATTGAGAGCTTCAAAGCAGCAGAAATATTTCTGTATCCTTCCCCAGATTTGTGCCGCAACATAATCTTGTATCGAAGGTCTACAGACAATTCCTTTGCCTTCATGCTTGGTGTTTGCGCTCTTACATGCACTGTCAACTGTGGTACCTTTATGTGTGCCTTTCCAAATTAATTCCATTCAACTGAATTGACCACAAATGGACTCCCATTTAAGTTGTAGAAACATCTCAAGGATGATCAGTGGAAACGGTATGCATTTGAGCGCAGTTTTGAACTTCATGGCAAAGGCTGTGAAACATAAATGTGATTTCTTGGTTTTCTATTTTTTATATATTGGCAAAAATCTCTCTTTTTTCACATTGTCATAATGAGGTATTGTGTGTAGAATTTTGACGAAAGATATTAATTTAATACAATTTGTAATAAGGCTGTAACATAAGAAAATGTAGAAAAGGCGAAGCGCTGTGAATACCTTCCGGATGCATCGTAGATGCACAAGCACAAGTGTTATCAGACTCCTGAATGCAGCGAACTGGGTTCTGAAATGATTCTATTGATCGTGCAGGAGTCATGTTACACAACAGGATGTTTGACAACTCATCCTGCACCTTCGGAGTATCTTTGGCCAATATGTTGCAGATATGTGTTTATAGCTGGTGCTCTGAGTTGCTGAGCGTCCTCCCACAGTACAATAATGACTCATGTGCAGCTTTTAGGAGACGGCAGTCGGTGCTGCAATGATTCACTTCACGGTGGAGATTATCATGCTGGATACAACTGAGCACATCCTCAGCTGAGTCAAGGAGTCTACAGATTACTAATGGATTGTAGGCAGCAATTCATGTCATGCTTTGCAACTATTGATTTAGGATTTAGTTCAGTGTAGCAGCCCCCTACAAAACACCTGATGGTGCACTCACAAGCAAAACTAGGATGGACTTTGTTGCACCAAAATCCTATAGAAAAAAAAAACTTTTTACGTTGTTTTATTCTCATCTGTATTTACAAATTAAACAAGAACATGTTCATGTTTTCACTAAAGAGAAACCGAAGAGCTTCTGCAATCTGTTTCAGTACATTCTGATTAAAAGCTGTCTTTGTTTTGCAGATGTTGACTACAGGATGGCAGCTTCGGGGATAAAGATTGAAATAAATGCCAACTGTGTCAACCAAAACAAATCTGGCGTCAGAATTTAAATGGCAGATGTTTGTTTTCTATTATATTAATTGTGATTTAGTATCTTGAAAATGTGTTTATTGGAGCAACCAAGGTGAAAACAAAGTGATTTGTCATTTTTGTGTAACTTGTCGCAGGTAAAGAAGGCATAAATATCTGTAAACGCATCATAATGCACACTGTTCTACTGCACAGATGTTTTTTTTTTTTGGCTTCAACTTTTTTGGTTTAAAATGATGAGTCATTAACAGTTGTCTACGAGTGTTGACGACAAGCTTTTATATCCTTGAATCCTTATAGTATTTTATTCCTTAGGCCTCGTTCAGACCTGACCATGTACAGTATGTCCACCTTGGGTGAAATCGGCTGCTAGTGGGCAGCTCTGATTGAGAGCGTTCACAGCTGTCCGGGAGCTGTTAAATCAGCGTGACAGCTGGTCTAATGATCTTTAAAAATAATGCATTCAGACATCTGAGCTATATTATTATTTTGACCTTAACATGGTTCAGCCATTAGTGACATTTTAGGTAGGTAAATGGGTAACAATACTGTATCATAATACAATTATTTAGGACTTTACAGAGTCCAGTGTCGGATCAAAGACTCGCCTGCACAGCTTCAATGTAAACTTACCATCATTTATATGTTTAGTTATGCGAGTAATGCTAATGCTGCTTGGATTGTTATACTGTGATTGACTGCTCATTATCACACATCAGGTCCAGTTTTCTCTCAAATAATCAGGGCAAATCATAGAGTTACAGTAGTCCCTCGCTACTTCGTGGTTCATTTTTCACTGATTCGCTATATCGCCGTTTTTCAAAGTAAAATTGGGCATGACACAGTTGGCTGATTGATGGATGAGCCATGGATTTTTTTTATTTAAAATAAATTATTTAAAATGATTTTGCACCATGTGTGCAGCCCACAAGTGCAGGGGGAAGCTTTGTCCTGCAGCTGATCAGCTGATCTCCTCTGCCACACACACATTTCTCCTGCTGCAGCAGCTTTGTGGAGGGTTAACCCTTTGATGTCCAGATGCACCGATCGACCTTTGTCTTCCAACTTAAAATTCAAAGTGTGTCACGTCATAAAATTGTCATAATCGCAGAATATAAAA